GTTGCGAGATGATATTCTGAATATACAACCCACAAAATTTTGAGGTCTCTATCTTGCTAGCGGGGCACTGTGTGTGGAGTTAATGTTATGTGGTCCTCAAATATCTTTAATGCTTTACGTGCAAAATGTTAAACTTTAATTACTTACCTTTTCAGTGAAATGGTAGTTTCTTATTTTATCTTAGCATATTGAATATATCTCAGTTTTGAAAACTTATACCAAAGTCAGCAGAGAGAGTTCTTGGGCAGAACGCTTTCTTCTCTTTTCTTTTAATTCTCTACACTTTGTACTATTCATATTGATCTGCAGCTTTGGATATGGGGATATGTGGGCATCATAACAACTAGTTAGTTCACTTTCAATTCTCACAGTTTGCTCAGCTTTTTTCTTTTCTTTTCTTTTTTCCATTTTTTTAGTTATTCAAGCAGTATCTTTGCTTAGATCTGGTGAGATTTTTCCTGTATTAAAGATATCAATTTGGAATATAGTTGAGATATTTCGACAGAGCCAGCCAGCATAGAAAATAAAAAGGATAAATTTTTAGATAAAGAATCTGTTGCAAAAACTTCTCACAGCACTGCAAGGAGAGGATCCAACACACAGAAGGTAAAGCCGATGTGCCTAATATTCTAAAATGTAACTTAAAAAGAGACACATAAGAGAAGTAGACGAGAGAGAAAAGAAGGAAAAAAGGGCATAGAGATGAAGTGACATGGTAATATAACATTCCAACGACTTGCACTTAATTAACTATACCCAACCCAATGATGAGTGATATTGATCACTTGGAGCCAATTTGCAATAATAATCATACATAAGATTAATTAATTAAAGGGCCGGTTCCCATTAAGGAAAAAAGAATTTATAATAGCTAGGTGTCCACAGAAAAAAGATCCTTTGGACATTTTGCTAATCTTGAGGGGTTTGGTTTTGTACTAAATTAATTAGGTTGGATTTGAAGGAGAAAAAGTGGGTTAGTCTTGTCCAACAGTTAAGGAGAGAGATGTGTACTTTGTATAAAGGGGTATCATTCTATTTCACATAAAAAAAATTAAGACTATCAAAAGAAGATCTGCTACGTTAAAACAGTCAATTAACGACTAAAGATGGTATCCCAAAGCCTGAAGAAAATCTAAAGGTATTAACTTTATAGCACTGGAAGCATATCTTATCTTTTCGATTTGGGACAATTTGCTCGATCTTCTAATATTTGACGAAAGCTCGTGGGAGATGTGATTTTTATGTATTAGGAGGGAGGTTATAAGTTATAATAAGAGATTGAGATTTTGAAATGTTTATAATTTGGGAGTGAGTAGTAGCGTAGGGCCAATAACACCAAAAGCTTTGTCTCATGCATTGTCACTATAGGCAACGACATAATCACGTTGGGTCTGGATAGAAACCTAAAAAGGACTCATCACAATCATGCTGTCTGTGAAAAACCAGCTACCTCTTCGCTCATATTAATTTTTACAATCGTGGCTGAGAAGACGTTTCTTTTTCCTTTTTGTGAAAAAGCTGCCTTCTGCTACACATTATTTCGCTTTTTTATATCAAAATACCAATGCGGAATAAATAAATATCCACTATACCATACCACAGCCACCTATTTGTAAAGAAACACAGTTTCTTTTGCGGTCAAAATTCTGAAGACGTTACAAGTTTATTTATTAATTAAAGAAGATTAAATTCATGAACCATCTTGGCACTTTCAATAACTACCTTCTAATAGGCTTCTTGTTGGAAGATTCGTAAAATAATTAAATTATCGTCTGAGTTTAGTGAATAATAAAAGTGATAGAATTTTAAGGAAGAATGAGATTAATTAGGCCTAGTTTTTTTTTTTTTTCGTTTGAAATTTGTATATTGATGAGAGTTATTCTCATGGTTCCTTCTCCCTTTGTTAAGTCCTTTATCTGTTGGGACATCAATCTGGGTCAAATTTCATTTTTGGATCGGAGGCTCGTTTGAACGTTTTGGATTTTGATACCATATCAATATTCATGAGGTTCGTCAATTAGCAATAAGAGGAGAGGAGTAGTTCATATCTATTATATATAAACCTTTGTTAGGTTCCTTATCTTTTCAATATGAGATATTTAACCGTCGGTCTAATATAATGAAAGAGAAAGTTTATGGTTATAATTGGCAAACTCTGCGCAATCAAGTATAAAAGTTATTTTATCCCTCCGCTGTGCTTCTCCTCTCCTGTGGAAAACAAAGAATCTTCTATCTTACCAAACTTTGGTTGTTTTAGATGTAACATTTAAAGATAAAAGTTTGTATTCAGAGATTAGATGAGAATATGCAGAATAAACATGAAGTAGATTAAAATTCCGTTAGTAAGGGAAAAAAAGGAGGTTAGAAAGAAGTAGTAAAATGGGAAAGTCAGATAATAATAATGTACTAAAGTTGACAGCCGAGGTTGCAGAGTAGAGTAGCTGAGAGTGTTTGTTTGTTTGTTTGTTTGGACTGAAAATTCACATTTTCTTGTCAAGAAATCACGTGCAATGTTGCCCATATCTAATTTCTAAACATCTTGAACACGATAGCTTAACTTACATGCATTATGCATCCCCCAAAACTATATTATAAATAATAATAAAAATTTTATTAAATTTTTTTTTAGAATGTTGGTGGTTAACGGGCCATAAATCTATCATTTTCGTACTGTTTTTGGTCAAGTCAATTAACTCTCCCATCTTTTTTTCTATTTATATATGTTAAAAATTCCAATTCTCTATTCCTAATTTCTTGTTTTTTAGGACTAGTTTCACATGAAAGATACTTCTATATCTGTTTAGGACTTCGTTACTATATGATTAGGAGAATATTTAGCATATGATTATTGCTAGTTTAAATATTATGATAGAGGAATTGGAATGACAGGCTGGCAGTCTCATAAGGGCCACAGACGTAAAGAGATTCACAGCTTGGTTTTTTTATTTTTTATTTTAATTGGACATCGATCAACATCATTTTATTTATTTATTTAATAAACAAGATAATACAAAATATAGTGTATCATTTTTTTATTTTAAAAAAAAGTTATATATTTGTGGCGCCGATTGCAGCCGACGGACCTTCGCCGGTGACGGTATCTTCCTAGTTTGAAAATTCAAAGAACCTTTTTTATTTCCATACCTAATAAGTCAATACGAAAATATTTAATTTACATCCATCCAATAAAAAACGTAGACCATTCATTTTGGTCACATATAACTGACTTCTCTGAATTGGATTTGAATATATTTTTTCTCGTTATTTATTTGAAAAAATATATATAATTGAAGCCAACTTTCATTTTCAACAAAAATTGACCAACGAACGAACAATGAAAATTGAGAGGAATTGTCAAAATAGTAAGGTGTGTCCGAACCAGCACCATGCATCCGAATCTATATCTTCAAATGTTTCTGAAATTGACTTCCACTATATAATAAATTTCATTTATTACATCGTCAACTATTTATAGGCTGGAATACTTGAAACCAGACTTTAGCCCCTAACTAATTACTTTGTTTATTACACTCACAAACTTCCGTCTCTCGGGACATTTTCGTGACTTTACTTTTGATTTCGTCCAAATGATTTTATATTGATGAAGAGGGTTATCCTTAATTATATACCCACGATTTTTTCTCTTTGTCACTGGCGTAAGACTTTCGTTGCATTTTCAACAAATATTTTTATTAATAAAAACAACTGTAATTTAATTATGTGTAAACAGGTAAAAATGAGTAGAGGATATGGTATTGAGAGAGTGGTGATGCACATCCCACATGGTGTGTAAAGTGGAAATATCTTAGGGTGGAGGAGAAAGGTAAAACAATATAGTCGAGTTGATACGTGAGACTCATTTGGTAACATTTTCGTATATTTTTTAAAATATATATGTTTGATGACTATTTCTATTTCTTATTTCTCAATTTTAAAAAATTGGACAACAATGAAATCATTTTTCATATTTCTAGATTTTTTTCCAAAGAAAAATAACTATTTTATCATTTTTTATTTTTAAAGTGCATAACAAAAATATAAAATTAAAGAATTAAATATTTAATTTGCTTGAACATAACTCAATAGGCAAGATACTTAGGTATAACTAAAATAGGTTCAAATTCTCTTCAAGAAATTAAATATTTGACTTGAAAAGTTAATTTGATACCATTTTATTTTTCTAATCGAAACAAGAAACAAGAAATAAAAACGTGATAAAGGAAGGAAGGAATGTGTAGAAATGAATGAAGTGGAATTGGGACGATAGGAAGCCGAAAAAGAAAGTGTAAGTGGTATGGAGAATTGTTGGGTGGTGAAGGTGAAGGAAAAGCGTGTCTGATGGAGAGGGAGCCCAATCGGCAGCCGTGTGGCACCCGGCCACAATCACATGGCTACAGTTGTTGGCGATTGGCCCCATCTCCCACCTCCCGCTTTAAATGGAATGTCCTCCATCTCTCTCTCTCTGATCTCTCTCTCTAACTCTAACTCTGCTATTGCCTATAATCATAACAATAATACCCTTTTAAACTTTGCTTAAACCGCTTTTGCATTTTTCTTCTCCTACAGATTCGCTACAGCCTACAACCAATACAATCAAATATTCATTTCTAAATGCCCTTCGAATGTGCAATTGTCTTCATTTATTTTGTTAAAATCTCTTTTTTAATTGAAGGGGGTAGTTGTTCCTTTTGCAATTATTACGAGATTAGACAATTATTTGATGTAAAACGCTCACCAATAAAAATAATAATAATAATTTTTTTTTTTCCTTTCAGAAATGGTCACCGCTGCATGTGTGAAAACACAAACTAGACTACATAAAATGGCCACTCATATATGCTTTAATATTCAAAACCTTTTGTTTGCCACGTGATTCACTGGTGCAAAATATGGGTCCTTAGACACACAGCTAATGCTTGTTCTATTTTGTCCACCTTAAAAGTTAGAAGTGGGGGTGCTGCCATGACCTTGGCTATGTTCTCTTCTACCATGTACATATTCTACTTCATATCTTAACTACAAATCAAAACCCAAGAAAAATGCAGCACTAAAAACTCAATGAAATGTCGACTACTTTGCTATTACTTTCCTACTTAAACATCCCAATGAAATAAGAATGAAGGCCGAGACCATCTCCTCTTTGAATAGATTAGGCAGGCGCGCCGAAGAGGCTCCGGTCATTGACTTTAAAGCTGGAGACTGCAAGTTTGAATACCTCAGGCATTGGCATGCATCCGATTTGTGAAGCAGGAGTGGCCAAACCAGAGCAAACTGAGCTAGCACTTTCGCTCAAAGGACTGCAACCACAACAGTATAACACAATAATTGGTATTAGAGCTGCCCATGACAGGTACAGGAAAGATATGTTATGCTAGCTATGCACTCATTTTCCATCTAGGTTGTGATTTGTGAAGAATCAACAAATTGGGCTTTTGCTTTGAAGAGGGCCACATCCAAGTTGGCCAACTAAGAAGGATGGTTCTTTGGGCCCTTATCACCCTACAAAATGATTCAAAAAGCAAACCGCCTTCCTGAACCTATCTCCTCTATAGTGCCTCAAAATTATGTTTTCTTGTATTTAAACAGTTAAATCTGGACGTTTACTATGAGGTTGACTATCACTTGGCGGTCCCTAACACAACTAGTCGCCCAATATTTCATGTTTCACAGTTGGGTTAGCCAAAGGTTATAACTCTCATCACTGCCCATTATCCCCTCATCTTAGTGCCACTATGGAGCTAAACTTAGCCCCAACAACCATTTTGGGCGTGCGGCCATTAGTTGTCGAAGCTATATTTCAACTAGAGATACTAATGATCCACTAAGGGCAACTATCAAAAGAAGCATCCGAACTATATGATCTTCTTATCACACGGTAGTTTCAAATTAGAATTCTACCAATTAGTTGCATCAGGAGATCAGCTTTTGTAGTGAGGGGAATGTGAACGCCTTAAATAAGTTTGTCAGGAGAGTATATATGTGGAGTGATGATGTAAATAGTCGGGGATTATGCATCTAAGAAGACAATAAGGGCAAAAAAAATCTCGTAAAAGACTGGGATTTCTTTTCTTTTCACCTTCCTTCCAATTTAACTAACTGTGCATTTCACTCAGAATTCTATCCAATGGTTCATTTCCCTTTTATTTGAGAGTGAGTACTCACTTTATAAGAATGGGTTCATATGCACAGATTAGCACATCTGTGTAAAAGACTGGGATTTCTTTTCTTTTCACCTCCCTTCCAACTTAACTAACTGTGCATTTCACTCAGAATTCTATCAATTGTTCATTTCCCTTTTATTTGAGAGTAAGTACTCACTTTATAAGAATGGGTTCATATGCACAGATTAGCACATCTGTACCAACTCCTTTAAGACGTAGATTCGCCAAATAAACCTGCATAAAACAATAAACAGATTTACTTTATGACTCATTGGGAAATGGGAAACACCTAAACACTAGAGTAAACAAAATGAGAAGGCTACCCGGACAATATTTTGGGCTTCTCTTCCTTGCCGGCCCTTTGAAATTGCCTACAYAGACAGAAAGAACGCTCATTGAAAAGATAAGAAAGTTTGCAACAATAACGACGGTCACCAATGTGTGAGAGTTCTAGTAAGTGCAGTTTGAGAATATTATTAGTATATTAATGGGAGGATATTATGGTAATTAGTTAGGGGTGAATTGTTATAAATAGGGGTAGCTTTGTGTGAGGGATTTGAGAGAGTTCTTCGGAGAGAAATAGCCCTCTTGAAAGGTTATCAGGACTATCGTTATTGTTCTCTTTTGTATTGCAATATAGTGTTCTTGTTAGGTTCTCTTGTATTTGAGATTCCTAACAAATTGGTATCAGAACAGCGGTTCTGGTCATGGGTGTTGTATCAGAGTTATTGTTGCTGAAGATACAAAGATGGGCAGTAGAAGAGGACAAGGGTTTGATAGAAATGCAACAACTACTAAAGGAAATGCAAGATGCGCTAGCAAGGTGCATTACAAGACCGACTGGAAGGGAAAGGGAGACATCAAGTATTGAAGAACCAAATGTGAAGAAACCCGTCCTGAAGTTATTGGGTTGTCAAAAAAGGGCGAAGGGTGGCTGGAAGGCGACGTTCATACCTAAGAACGTGGACTGTAGTGCGATGGAAAATCAACCAAGGTTTGAATGTGTTTCCAGATCCCTTGAGAACATACGAGAAGAATAGCCATCGACGAAAGATGAGGAGGTTGCGACAACAAATCCCGATTACGTTGAAGACACCAAAGCAAGGTAACAAACATAAGTTTGAGAAGTTTAAAAAGGATGAAGGAAAAGTCGACTGCCAAGGAAGGAGCATCAAGAGTACGGTCGGGCGGTGGGTGAAGAATCATAGGACAAAGAAGTGGAATGATGGGAGTAGGTGGCGATGGAGAGTGCGACAGGCGAAGGAAAGGGGAAGGAGAAAACGAAGGAATCAACCCCGACATTGGAAGTGCAAAAGGAAGAATGAAGAAGAAATCAAATGGCCGAGAAGAAACACTACATGAGGGAAGATACGAGGTTCCGACGAGTGTAGCACTAGAGTTGCACAGTGGCCGGCGGACGAGTAAGCACCAAAAAAAATATTGGCACAACAGAGGTGGGTGGCGGCGGAAAGGTACGGCATGTGGAAGAGAGCTTACGAGGCAAGGGCAGGGTTACAATACAAGGAGCCTCGTGGAAGAAATAAAGTTATTGGGCTTGGGCTGGGGCTAAGCCAAACTAAAAGGGCCCAATTTGGTAAAAGTAAAGGAGACCCTATTATGTTTTTTATAATTGGGAGGATTATTGATGGGTGGGTCAGAAACTATTTTAAAACAGCAGAACATAGATGGGCTTGGACAAGGTAAGAGTAGAGAGGCCCATCTTAAAGAACATCCTAGGGCTGTGAGTTTCAATTGTTTACCTATGGCCACGCGGGCGTGCACATCAAGGTACAACCCAATTAAAGCTTATGTTAACTTTCTACCCACTTGCACTTTGAGGTTGTTGGAGACATTTTGGAAGCCAGCTCATCCAAAGGGACCAAAACTTGAGGAAGCCCATGGTGAAAGTTTAGAGGCAGATCTGCAAGGTCATTTTAAGAGCTTGTCAATAATAAACAAAAACTCATTCTATTCAAACTCAATAACTTGCGGTGGCATCTATAGAATTGTGATTGTCACGCTAAACAAAACAAAATCTAGCAATGGGAAGCGAGAAAATCCAAAAATCCATCAAGAAGAGGGAAGTGGCAAGGTTGGGTTCAAAAACACAATGTCGGTTCCGGTTCGCAACGCTTATGCTGTTTTGTTCACAAAGTTGGGCGGAAATTGCAGTTTTCTTGTATCTACGAGTATGGTCAAGGGAGATGGAAGGGCGATTGACGTGACTTGGGAACAACGAAACCCAATTTCCGGACCATTCAAGCTGATCTCTTTCGCTTTGACTTTCAGGCAGTGGTTCCTTGTTATTACACTGCTGTTGAAGATTATATTTAGGGGTCTGCACCTTTTGTTAATATAGGTGGGAGGGCGAGCATAAGACTTTTGTTTAATTTTTGTATTCACATTGAGGACCAGGTATCTTTGAAGGACATGGTAATGTGAGAGTTCTAGTAAGTGCGGTTTGAGAATATTATTAATATGTTAGTGGGAGGGTATTATGGTAATTAGCTAGAGGTGAGTTGTTATAAATAGGGGTATTACGGGAAGGAGAAGGACATCTTGGAGAATAGTTTTGTGTGAGGAACTTGAGAGAGTTATTGGGAGAGAGATAGCCCTCTCGAAAGGCTATCGATATTGTAATCTCTTTTTGTAGTGCAATATAGTGTTCTTGTTAGGTTCTTGTATTTGGGTATCTAACACAATGGAACTGGAAAGAAAATTTTATGGAAACGCGGACTACATCAAAGTTCAAGCTATATCAAACGAGCATCATGAACAGCATAACAACAAATATTTGACAAGCTTGGAATATCTAGCAAATACATCAGACCCAACAAATTTAAGCCAAAATAACCACTCTACTAACATATGCCAAAATAACCACTCTATTAAGATATCATAGAAACAACCAGAATGAGAAGTGATGCCGCCATAACCTCATGCACGACAAAGAAAAAGAAAGACAAATTTCTATAGAAATTTGTGTTAGTTAAGTGAAACAGTAGTACCATTTCCAATTCATATAGAAGGAAAGGAAAAAGATACTGCCGTAAATATTGATAGATTAAATAATTAATGTTTATTAAAAACATGTAATAAACATGACATTAGTGTTTTTTTAACGACTAATATAGAAGGAAAGGAAAAGAATGCTAACATAAATATTAATAGATTAAATAATTAATGTTTATTAGAATCATGATTATTTCGAGCTATTGAGCAATAATGTTTTTAAAGCTCTTAACATTTTTTTTAATTTTAACTTAAATGTGCATGTTTATTTTAGTAATTGAGGACTAATTGATTAATCAATAGTAATTAAATAAAAGATATAAAAAAAATCATCTAAAGCATAATGTTTAAATTGTTCTCATTAAATTATTTTTTAAATCAAGATCCTCGTACTATATCCATCTCAAGTTGGTTCTTCTCCTAGATTTTTTTTGCTTGATTAACTTTATCTAAGTTTTTGTTTTTGTTTTTTTCCTTCATTAATAGATTGATTGAGTAGATATGCGATAATCTACCTAAATAAATACCCAAGCGAGCTTAGCTAAACGGTAATTGACATATATCTCAAATCAAATCAAGAGGTTGTGAGTTCGAATCTACCTGAAAAAAAAAAACCATAAAGTTATTCTTACTAAATAAGCATCTTATTTATTCAAAATATGGACTTTTAAAATTTATGATATTTTTTTTTTCACTTTTAATAATTAAATAAATTTTTAAAAAATTAATAATTTTAGTACATTTACGAGATTAGAAATGCTTGAATATAAATTTTTTTCAATTTATTCTTAAATTAATTCTAAAAATTATAATTTTTTTTCTTTAATTATAATTAATAATGAAATTTAAAAAGTTATTATGTTTTAATGGTTAAATAATATTCGAAGAAATAAAAGTATTAAGAATATATTGAAACTAATTTGATGCAAATTGAAATGACAAAAATGTGAAAAGTTTGGAAGAAAGCTTTGTCAATTTATTTTTAAAAATTATTGCCAAAAAAAGAAAATTAATTTAAATTGATGATGTTATCCTGTTATTATTAATAATGAAAATTTTAGAATTTTAGAATTAATGTAATCTCCCTCAACCTCTACAACGATGTCAAGAGCTTCTCATATATTTTTAGACACAGCTTTTACATAGCATATCTATTTAGTCTTTTTATTTGAATTGCTAAGTAGTGTTGTCTAGCAATTATACGATATTTTATTTTTTAATAAATAATTATTAGCAATAATAATAATAAATAAATAACAAGAACTACTATTCACTTAGATAAAAAACAATAATAAATTACAATGTACAAGACATGTGCTAATATACTAGTATTGATAAATGTTTATAGAACAAATAATAGCGAGTCGTTGTTTTATTGTTAACAATTAACAAAATTACAAAGCAAATAAAAAAATATCTTGATTACTTTGAATTGATGTATTGTCATCTTGTTGGGAGGGAACATTTTTAATTACTGTGTGCATTCTAACGCAACTTAATTTTATGCCTCACATTCCCTACCCCTAAAAGAACTCATGCATGATACTTTTCTATGGTTTTCCAAATATTATATTACTTTTGTTTTTACAAATTTTGACTATCAAAGTTCTTCTATAGACAATTTATGTAATTTATGTGTGGATTAAATGATAAAAGATCACATAGACTTACTTAGCATAATTGAGACCTCGTAAAACCATACGAGCCTCTCATATTTATATATATTCAATAGTCTCTCAAATTGGATCACTTTGATTTTAACTCTTAATCTGGACAAATCCTTCAAACAGTCTTTCGTCCATCCAAAAGTGTCAGTCTTAAYACAGTAAAACGTAAATTTGGCAACAAAAAGAAAGATCAACAACAGGTGACAATAATTTAGGAAAGTAAATTTGAAAATTTTAAGCAAACAGCTATTTAAATATTGATAGTGAAATTAAGATGGAAAATTAAAAACAAGTGGGGACTTCGTTGAAAAAAATGTACACAACCGAAACAATGGGCAGGCTAACGGATTAATCGAGGTCGTTAATTGCGTGTATATGATCAGTCCACGAACCACAAAATCACAGCCATACATCAAGTTGGGCCCCACTTTGACTCTCTTCCAGACTGCCACGTGGTAGACCTCTCAATCGAATCCAACGCTTTTTCCCCCCGACGACATTTTTCACCAGCTTGGTTGGAAAGCGAATAAAAAAACGACGTAGTTTGATTCTTCTCGATCTCCATCCTCTCTCTTCCATGATTCGTACCACTTCCACAGATTTTTCTTTGTTTTTTCTGAAAACCCTAGCTCTAAGCATTTTCCTTTCCTTTCCTTCTTCTTCTTCTTCTTCATTGATTTTGGGCGTTGTTTCAATTTTCTTTCTGTAGAGAAGGCCAGTGTGGGAAGGTCGTCCCTACTCTCCTTTCCCATTATAGGAATTGGATTTGGGATTCCCTTCCTGCTCTTTCTCAGCCCGGCTGATAATTTTTCGGGAGCTGCGATTTGGGGTTTTAGGGGATATTTGATTCCTAATGCAATTCCGGCTTTCTTTGGGCTGAATATTTGATCGGCTGGAGTTGGACGTCATTTTCCAAGATGGGTATTGTAATATCTGATCAATTTTTGGGTACTTTTGTTCCAATTGTGGTTTATTGGGTATATTCTGGAATTTATATTCTTCTCGGTTCATTTGAGAACTATCGGTTGCACTCTAAGAAAGATGAGCTGGAGAAGAACTTAGTGTCCAAAAGCACTGTGGTTGGAGGCGTTTTTCTTCAACAGATTATTCAGGCAATCGTTGCGATCCTCTTGTTCAAGGTATGCATTGAATAATATCTGTGCAAGTTCATTTAATTTCAATATGTGTGTGATTTCGATCATATATTAAAAAAAGTTCAGTACCCCCTTATCTAGCCAGGATCAATAAGCTTATTATTGGTTGAAATAGGCGGCACTGAGTCGTATTGAAAGTATAAAAACCACCTGTTGGGAAATTTATGGCCTTCTAGCGATGTTTATTTTGTTAGCCCTCCCCCTTGGTCCCCCACTTGCTTGCAACTCTTATGGTTTTTTAGAAATTAGATATTTATGCATTAAGACTGACACTTTTTTGTTCACAAGTAAATCTCCGAGTACTGATCTGTGACTTGAATGGTTCTTGTTGAGCTTTACGAGCTATATTATCAGTATCAGTTGGTGGAGGTCTAAGGATGGTTGGACCTTCGTGCTTCCTAGTCTTGCAGACCAAGATTGGTCGTTTTTTAATTTTCTGAAAATACTTGCTGTCAATTCTGAATCATCTCTTTTAGTTCACCTCGTCTGGTCACTTTCCGTTTTAGTCTTTCATCCACGATCCTCATACTAAACTTCAGAATTCTTAACCTCCCTCCACTCCACAAGAAAAACTGAAAAAAGTAGCATTCCAAAATCTCCCACTGTATCTTAATTTCAAAAAGTTAGTCATCTGAATTAGCACTTTCTACAAAAAAAACTTCGTTGTAATTTTTCTGTGGTATGTGCATCTCGAAGCAAAACTCAATCCTTCGGTTGCCTCATGAATGGCTGTCACCAAATCTAATATTTACCATGTCCGTTGAGAGGGCATAAGTTTTGATCTTTTTTCCCCCTATGTCTTGGGAGTTGGGTGGTTATGGGAAAGGAAGGAAGACCACTGAAAGTTGAAGAAAGCATGTAAAAATTTTATTCTGTATGGATAGATTACATTTTAGCCAAGATCCTTTTAGTCTTGGATGATAGACTTATGGTCTTTAAAGTGCTTTTTGTTTTTTTTGAGATTTCTCAGGCTGTTGTGCTCCAATACCGACCCTCCGCATTGAGTGGGTCTTTTATTAGTTCTGCGGTTCATGAATATTAGTTTCACAAGTGTGGAATTTTGGCTTACATTTATTAAGTATATGTTTCTCCCTGGTAGGACCACCAGAACACCATCAGATTGATTTACTCTACAGTCTGCCGAGGTGTATGATTTCTTACACATACATTTGTTTTCTCACTGTTCTTAGTACTGACCAAAAATGACCTATGGCCAATATGATTAAGAAACAGTAATTTGTCTCTTGAGGACTCAGTTTCGTGAGGTAGAAAACCTACGCATACCTGAAAATAAATGGGTTGAAGAACTTCCTTGTATGGTGGCAACATTGCAATATTGTATCAGTTATTCATTAGTCTGTTGATCCTGCAACTGATTTCTGATACGCCGGATGCTTTGCAGGCTGGGACGATTACTTGTTCCATTCATTTACCAATTTGAATCTAATGGACCTATTATTTATGCACTAAAATTATCAGTTGTGGGACAATGTGGCTACGTTTTCTATACTACGGCTGAGTGGATTTGACACAGGAAGGTTGATTTGATCATTGCCTGTTGCTGAAAATAGCCTTTTGTTCTTAACTTGTGATGTAGGTGACTGGAAATGATGGGGAGGTTGCTTCAGGTCCAAAACCTTGGCTAACAATCATAGTTCAGTTTATCGTTGCAATGCTGGTGTTGGACACTTGGCAATACTTTATTCACAGATATATGCATCAGAATAAGTTCTTATACAAGCACGTCCATTCCCAGCATCACCGGTTGGTTGTACCTTATGCATTTGGAGCTTTATACAACCACCCGTTGGAGGGTCTCCTCCTTGACACAATCGGCGGGGCTTTATCTTTTCTCATTTCCGGGATGTCACCTCGAGTAGCCATCTTTTTCTTTTCATTTGCCACCATCAAAACAGTGGATGACCATTGTGGATTATGGCTTCCTGGAAACCTTTTCCATGTGTTCTTCAGAAACAATTCTGCTTATCATGATGTCCACCACCAGCTATATGGCAGTAAGTATAACTTCTCACAGCCGTTTTTTGTTACGTGGGATAGAATATTTGGCACCTATATGCCTTACTCATTAGAGAAGAGAGCAGGGGGTGGTTTCGAGGCGCGAGTTAAGGAGGATTAGTTGTTCGTTAGGAAGCATATATTATTTGCCTCAGTGTTAATTTTTTCTCTTCCTATTAGCCACCCACCACACTGTTAAATTTGTATCATACGTCTATTCTTGTGTCTTACACTATTTTCTGGAAGTCTAACTAGCTGAATCGTGTTGTGATTGAACTTTTCTTTCCTCTCTTTTCCCCTTTCTTTTACCTACTTCCTGTGAACAGAGAAGAACCCCTATGATTTTTTTTCTCTTTTCTCCTTTCTTGTACCTAATTTTTTCTGCTAAAATAGACATCTCTGATCCGGTAAAGAAGCAAATCTAGGCTAAACTTGGGTCTGTCTGTGTGGGCGATTTCATATCTAAAATCTGGCACTTTGGGTGGAAAGCTTTCAGCCTTGCATATAGTGCATTGCAGGTTAATTTATTTAGTTGAAATGTTATGATTTGTAGATATTGTTAAAGAAAGAAATCAGTGAATGATATGTTATATGAACTAGTTGAGACTTGAGACTAAGAGGCATATATTATATTGATGTAATTTGGAATTAGGACCCAGTTGCCTCATTGGAACTAAGCATAACAGCAGGTAGAGTTTGGGAACTGTCGGTCAAACTTTGGATTAGACAGCTTGACTTTAGCAACTGCCAGTTAATAACAGGAATAATATTTTATTATTTTGTCGTCTGCATCTGATCTGGAAGCGCAGCGCACAGCACATTATCACTCATCACATCACAACCTCGAATATTTTTACTCTTCAAAATTTGATGTAATCTGCGATTAATTAATTATTTGTTGCCGCTTCATATAATTTTTAATAGGTTTATTGGGTTGTTCAGGAAAAAGAAACGTTTTTTTTGGGAAATGTCTCTTTTTATCTATACTTTGGAACTTGAAATATGACCAGAATTTTACGATTTTTAGTCGTTTGCTTCCTACTGTAAATATAGTTTTGGTAAAATTTCACTTTTGGTCAAAGTTAGATTAAGTGTTCATTTGGTCCATTTTTCGTCTCATAATTGTCAAAGTGAGTATAATTTAACGATAATTATATTGAACTTCTTGTCGCTCTTCCTTCAATGTCTTTGCATTGCTACTTGTCTCCACTCTGCCTCCCTTCGACGCCTTCACCATTGCAACCTATCGTCGCTCTGCTTCCCCTCAACGTCTTCATTGTTGCAACCTGTCACCTCTTCCCTTCTCCTCAACCCCTTCATCACCGCTCGCTTAAGTTCGTCCGACTTCGTTTTGGATCTACTACGAAGGAAGAAGTTCCCCCATTCTAAATTTGAGATGGAAGAGAGCTCTCCCTTCATGGTGGATCTAAAACGAAGGTTCTACGTGGAGATACTTGACTGTATCCTTCTACGACTACTCGACTTTTGCAAGTTCTTATCTTGACAAAATCTCCTAAAGTCACAGGCACCAGCTGGTCGGAGAGGAGAAAAAAAGAAGGGAGAATTAGTTGGTCACATCACATGCTCTAATCACAAAATATACATATTATGAGCTAAGTAAGCAAATTTATTTAACAAATAATTGCCATGTCATATTTCCATTAGTCAACTCAGAGACAAATAAATTTAGGATCATTTAGAATGATTTATCAAATTTTAAAGACTGAAAGTATACTTTTTATAACTTTAGGGACTAAATAGACATTTGGCTTAAATCTCAGGAATTAAAAATATATTTTTTCCAATAGTTTTTTTTTTAAAATATACAAGTAAAAAAAAACTCAAAAAAAAAGAAACAAGATGATTCATTGTCTGTCAACTAGAATAATTTGCAAATTATTCAAGGTTTGGATCCGTTTTAACGTTAGTAGTGTTGAGATTATTTGAGGTGAGATTTGGTTGCATCCTAACGATCGTCAACTCCATTAAAATATTGAAGGAACTTTGGTCACACATCTAACTAGTAGGTTTTAAGTTGCATGTTGCCGGTTCTCTTTTTTGCAATACTTGAAGTTGGAGACTCGAACTTCTAAATTTTAAGTCAAGAATATATGTCTTAACCAATTGAATTGCATATTATCAAATATTTCAAATAAAAATTCGATTTTTCATTTCAAATAAAAGTTTTATTTTTCATTTAAGAGGCTTGATGCAACTATCGAATCCAATTATTCACAATTGGGTGGCAAGAGGAAACAGTTCCATTCTAAAATAGATATGTAATAATTATAAATAATCTCTTATATAATATCTTGTTGGGGGTTATAATTTATACAACAATTTGAATTTGTTTCTCTTGTTTTCTTTTTTTCTCTGTAAAGAGACAGATTAATGATTGAAATGAGTTGGATGATCAATGGATATACAAAAGAAGACGTCTTAATGAGAAAAAAAAAGAAAAAGAAAAGGAAAACTGAATTATTAGAAGAAGTATGGGTACTATAAAGAAAGACGAGGACAATTTACAAACATTTTGGAAACTCAATAACCAAAATGAAATTTAGAAAGAAAATTAACACATCTAAGGAACTTAAAAAGTGTTAGGATATTTAAGGCACGTTTGGTGACATTATTGTTTATTGTTTCTCATTTTCAATTTTTGAGAGACTTGAGTATTTAGTAACTATTCGTTGTTTCTCGTTTCTCATTTTTATGAAACATTTCTAAAATTATATAGAAATTTTGGAAACAACAAAATCAAATTTCTTGTTCTCGTTTCCACTTTTTCCAAAATAGATTTAAAAGCATTGTTTTATAATTTCTTTACTTATCAATGACATAATAAATATCAACAAATAAATACAACACAAAACTTTTGGATATTTAAATTTAATATAAAACTGTTTTATTTAAAATTTCAAAGAACAAGAAAGGATTATCAAATATATTTATTTTTCATTTTTCTATATAAAGGAAAGAAACGGTTATTAAACACAATTTTAATTTTCTTAAATGAAAGTGAGGAAATAAGAAATAATAAACAAGTCCAACAAACTGAGGAGGATAAGATGCCAAAAGCCATACTCATTGAGGAACCATATATTACAGTTCTCCAATTGTCACAGATGGCATATTTTGAGGCTAAGTGGAGTGGGTTTTCTTTTTTTTAATTTTGTGGCCCATGTATAATAATTGATGGGGTGGTGGTGATAGATTGATTTAACAAACATTGATGTAAAAGTTACCCTGAAATTTTAGAGCCATCCATTCCATTATCTTTTCTCTACTCATCCTCATCCTCCTCCACTTACCAATCAAACATGTTTTTTAGGATACATGAGCCACCCTGCATCATGCATGGATTTGGTCCAATTAGACCATCCAAAAATAATCAACCAAACTTAAGGAGAAACGACTCCAAAGATGAATGGTTATGCAAACAAACCAAATAACACCTCATTTTCTTTAAGATTGAAAGTTTGATTTTTCACCCCATTGTTTTTGTTTTTAGAGATAAAACGAGACTACTAAAGATACTAGCGGATATATATGTTGTTTGATCATTGGTATGGTGAGTTTTTTTTCTTACGTTTTTAATACAATATGTGAGGTACAAATTCGAACTCACAACCTTTTGGTCAAATATATTATACCTTAACTAGTTAAATTATGTTTAAGTTTGACACTTTAACGATGAATTTGATATATCTTTTAATTTTAATTTTTTTCCTTTAAAATGTCTTTAATTATGTATTTGATTATATTTTATGAAAGTACTTTAAATAGCAAATTTATTTGATTGCCCTATATTCAAAAGTGATTCCACAATCACTTTAAAAATAAATAATAATCTCAGAAATGTTTGTTTAAAAGAATTATTTTAAACTAATTTGATTTTTTTAAAATGCTTTCTTTTTCTTATAAATTTTTAAAAAGCACGTTTAGTTCTATCTAAAACTACTTAAGAAGTTATAAAAAATACACTATAAATGAGTAGTTCTTTAAAATTGTTTATAGAAAAGATAATGTTCTATTTAGAAAGCATTTTTTTTTTCAAAAATCATCCTAGCACACAATTTTACTAACTATTCAAAAGTTTGATGTGAAATTACAGTTTTATCTTTTTACCACTTAAATTGGCGATGGATAAGAGACCACCGTCTACATCTCCATTAATATGACGTTATCTACCTTAGACATAAATTCGCATAGTTTTGTTTTTGGAATCATACCCATAATACTGCCTCATTGTTATTAACTCACGAGACTTTAGTTGCATATTTAACAATCCATTCGTCAATTTGTTCGACATCTGAGGTTTCTCCCCATATGGCTAAGTACCACCCTCCATTTCTCCAAATAATGATATTGTCTACTTTTCACATATGCCATCATGATTTTGTTTTTTTATATCACCCAAAAGGCCTCATTGTAATAGATGTTAATTTTCTCCTTCACTATTCAACGTGGGATTTTGATCGAATTGTCAACAATACTTATATGAATATAATAGGACGACAAGAAATACAAGGTGCCTAATTGAATATAATTATCATTTATTGACAAACTCAAAATTAGACTACGGAGAACAATACATCGAAACAATAATCACATTAAATAAAATGGTAGGTACTCAAACAAGGGAGTGAACTTGTTTAAAACGATCATAACATTATCAATCCCCATAAAGAAAGAATGATCATTTGAAAAGCAAGTGTTTTTTTAAGAATAAACTAATTAAACATACAAAATATTTGACAGTAGGCAATTGGCTTTTATTACCTGATGATAAATAGGATGGACAAGGAAATCAACATACGAGGAATGAATTAGAATCTCTTGAAAAGCGTATGCTTTTGAAGAATCAATAAACTAATTAAACATACAAAATATTTGACATTTGGGGCGAATACCGACGACTAATCGAGTTCGTGCCAACAAAACCCATAACCTTCGTCTCAGCTTCGAACCTAGTCATCCGCCCAAACGCCTCCGCCCGCCGGCAAACTTCTGCCTCGGAACCGTACGCATCTCCCGCCGCCTTCTTACTTCTACACCCCATCAGAAGATTGGAGCGCCGCCTCTGAATCTCTTCGGCGGCGGCGGTTGGGCTGGTGGTGGAGAGGCGCCGTTCGTCGTAGTCGGTGGCGCTGGCGGTGACGACACTCCACTCGATGCTGGCCTCGCTCGGCGCGTAACAAGTGGTGGGCGTGACACAATCCGTGCAATCAGAGCCCTGTCTCACCAGAAACGGATTGGGGTTCCCCATTAAGCTCTCTATCTCGAAAAGATCCGAACTTGCATCGCTTTCCGCATCCCCATTGTCGATTAGAATCGAATCATCAGTGGCGGACACGGACATATTCGAATCTGATTCCTTCACTCTTGGACCGATGTCGTTCCAAGACAGCATCGACAGCTTCCTCTCTAGGTGGTTCAGGCTCACAGTCTCCACACTTTGCGCCTTCAGGGAAGACCCAAAAACCTCAATTGACCTGCGCGCTTGCTGTTCCTCTACTTGAATTTTCATTTTCAGGGGTAAGTTTTTGGGCTCCGCTAATTTCGAGGTCGATTTTCGAAATGTGAAATTTAACCCACTTCTCACCAGTTCTTGTTTCGGATTTGTTTTGGTGTTATTGGATGAATGAACTTCTTCCACTGAGTCTTTGTGGCAGCCACAGCATTTATAGAGAAACCCCTTTGGTTTTAATGAGGATTTATTTTTCTTCTTGCTCTCCCCTGGGCCTGAATGATTTCTCCGTTGCAACAATGTATTTTGGCTATTCCAACTGGACTCTGAACGGATACTTGGAGTTCCAGAGCGGCTAATTTTTGTTTTTGGCTTCTTTTGGTGAACATTCATCTGTTCTGCCTTTTTAAACTGCTGTCTCCTGGGGCGTAATTTCAGAGGATTTGGGTTGTCCATTCCCCCATTGAAGTATTTCTCTGCTCCAAAAACTTCAATATCCCCATCCTCCTCTTGGGGCCGATCTCGAGCCGCTTCAGCGAGTTTGCGCACAAATTCTTTCTCAGCATGGTTCAAGTAGGAAGAGAAAGAGGCTTCCCGAAGGTGGTTGTTGTTATTATTGTTGTTCTCGAAGGACAACCTCTGCGAGAGGTTTGTGTCACAAACAGGTGGCGGCAGGCTCACCCTTCCCATGGACCAAACAGAAAGAAAAATTAAATACCCAATTGAAGAATTCTGAGAATGACAAGAGTGTAGATCCAAAAAGCAGAGGAGAAAGAAAAAAGTTGGAAGCTTTAATGAAGAAAATGAGATGTGAATGATTGAATCGGAGAACCAGGGGATGTGTGTATAAGTAGAGTAGCCGGGTAAGGCTATAAGAAACAGATTAAGCATGCAATTGCAGTTGCAGTTAAAGGAATAGTAGTATGGCCTCTGTTCTTTCACCAAAAACTGACAAATTCTTGATTTCATATCAAAATAACAGCTTTATTTTCTGGTGTGGAGGGCCCTGATTTGCATTTAATGGAGTGCCAGTCCTAAACTCTAGTCGGCCAAACACACAACTTGGACATCCGACATGAACCATTAACAGAACCTCTCTCTCTCTCTCTCTCACTCTCTGTGGAGGGACAGACATCGTAATGTTAACGTATTATCAGGTTGATTAGTTGATGTACCTCTTTGTCTTTATTTTTCACCATTCCTTTGAGAGGAGGTTGTGAGATTATGATTCACAGAACTAAAAACATGAAAAGATCAGAAAAACAAGAAACAAAACAAAACAAAACAGTACTTGTTTCCTTTCGTTTCCTTCCAAAGATTTTTGCTTTTTCTGGGTTCTTTCCCCTAATTTTCTTTAGTATTTGGACACGATCTCAAACTTTAAACCACACTCAAAGTTGGAGAAATAAGGATGCGAATCATACACGTAATTGCATTGGTGTGAAGCTCATTGCCACTTGTCATAAGCTTTTAAAATCCCAATTATTTTCTTAACTAGCAATTTTTAGCATTAGCTCCTCCCTCGCTTGTGCTTTTGGTATTTTTCAGTTGGAAAAACAACAAAATATCTTCTGTTATGTAAATTTAACAATATAGCAATGATGAATCATAACAAAGTGAGGCTCGATCTCTATTATTTAGGATATATTGGGTCAGAATAAAATCATTAGTTTAATACTTTGTATCACCTCTGTACCATTTACATAAATTTATTGGGTTTATATAAAAATAAAAGTGATGTTTTAGAAGGATATTTGTAGTTTCTTGAGAACACATTAAATTTCTTTTTCAAGTAAAGGAAACCGGTTAGACCCCACAATCATTTGCAATCCCCAACTGGTTAGAAGATGCCTTTCATTTCAAGCTTAGATAATTCCAAATTAATCAATCAATGAATACAATCATGATGTGTCGATGCTCGACAGAAAGTACATCATGATCCAAAGTATTTACAGAAGTTATAATTTATTTTTGTTGATTATTACAAATTTAGTAATAGTTATCAGCTTGGCATACAGTTTTTCCATATCCAGAAAAAACATGAGTAAAAAATATAAAGCAAGTAAAAAAAATTGTTTCTTTCATTGCTCAGAAAAGAACGAACTTTAGATGTTAGTTAAAGGAATGAATTTCCCATTATTTTCGAATTTGAGATGCATGGGTCCACTAATTAATTCAATTCTATTTCAAACCGAACCTTAGATTTGACACGATTTTAGATATCTTCAAAGGCTCAAAAAGGATTGATGGGAAGAAAGAGAGTTTGGTAGAATAAGTATAGAATTGAAGAGGAAATATTACATTAATGGGAGTGGCGAACCACAAACCAGAGAGGAGAATATAATAAATAAGTTAATTTTAAAGAATGGGATGCAAATTCATAAATGGGTAAGAAAGAAGAGGTTGGCAGATTTGAAATTGAGACAACGTGAGGATAAATAGGTGGGATGGTTGTGTTGGGTGAATTAGGGTCCACGCCCTAATCAGACACAGACAATGAAGTTAAGTTTGTGACCCATATTAATATCGTGAAAGTGACCAGTTGGAGAAATTATATTAGATTTGTCAAAAAAAAAAAAACTACGAAAATATCTCGAATCTATATTTAGTGGTTATCAGATTAGAAGATTTTTGAATTTGTGCATGGAAGGAGTGGCGGCTTGGTTTAATACTTTTTTGAGCAGCTGGGGCTGAAAGAAGCTTCTTGTTTGAAAACAAGTCTAACTAACAGTTGATTTAGGCCAAATTATGGGAGAGCACTGATTTGCCCCATTGTCGTTGAAAAGTGAAAGATTCTTCAAGAAACAAATAACTGTTTTGAAGTTGAAGGGCGAGTAATTGTTTGCCACTGTTGTCGTGGTTGGTCTGTCAATTTTCATGAAAGGGTATTCGTTCTTGTGTGGAGGCCCACGGGCCAATGAGGTTTCGCTACATTGTTCAATTTCTTGTCTGCAAAAAAGATAGAAAGAGTACTGCTGGCTGAATTGACAAATTTTTTTTTTTATTTTTGTATTTTTCTCTCTTAATTGTTGAATATTTAATGATGACAGGGAGAAAGTTACTCCTTACTTACTAAGTAGTCAAAAATTTTCCTTACAAAATTATAAAAAAAGTGGCAATACTTTGTTTTCGCCGTGGAGTTGGATTAATGGATGGATGTCTCATATGAGTGTAGTTTAAAATGACAAATATAGTGTCTTGGAGTGGTTTTGAAAGCTTGAAAATTTTATATACAATGGCCATACTTTTGTTCGTAGCAAAAGGTCTTTTGCTGAGACATTTTCTTTTCTCTAAAAGTTGTGTTTGGAATTAGAAAATTCTTAGATACCTAATTAGGGTAGGTACTTTCAAAAAGAAATTAGGGTCTTGATGTGGTCGTGAGAGGGTGGATAAATGTTGTTTCAGAGGAAAAGCATTTTCTTACATACATTGAGAGGCGAACATCCAATCCATCATCATCAGTTTGGTCGGATTCCGTCGATTTGATAAATTTTTCATAATAGCTGGTAGATAAAATATTAAAATTATGCTATATTGAATGAATAACTAAAAAGATCTAGCTTGTAGAGGCACCTACTATGGGCTTTGTATAAAGCTTCGATTGTGTCGGATGGCGTTGGCCCAATACTTATGGGTTGGAGAAGAAACTGATTGTTGATCCAAATTGTATGTGGGTTTGGTTTCTTATCACCGATTCGACTTCTACGGACTTGAACTTTCTGCAAATTTTCTTACTTTTTTCGAATTCCACTGCCTTATCCTCTTCACTCTTCAGTAAGAGCGAAAAATTCCATCCTGGGACTCTAGTCTACGGGTTTCATAGCGAGCAGGGGAACATAGTAAAATTGATTAACAAATGAGGATTTCCTGTTCGACTACCTTCGCAACTTTAGCTGAATCTTCTATCTATTGTCTTTCTAATTCATGGAAGCCGTCGTCTTCTTTGAAATCCACCGCGAAACCAACTCCTAAGATTGTACACTTTGGTTACCGAAACTTGCCACTGCAATTTTCACCCCGACGTTCGAATTCCCTGTCCCAAAATGGGTTTCGTCCGCTTTCTTTCTTCAATGCTAAAGATGAATCCGGCGGCGATTTTCAGCAAAAGGTACGCTACTTGTCATCTAATTTGCCATTAAGTTTCGGCATACTTTCTGTTGAATTTGTTTTCCCAGAAAACATACGTATATAGCAGGCAATTGAAGTACATATGCTGGGTCGCTGCCAAGCAGTGCACAAGATAGAAGAAATTATCTGAATATTGTAATTTTGTTCATGCATTTTTTGGTATGAGTTAGCTTCAACACATATTTGGAACTTTGTTACAGGGAAATGGGGGGGAGTGGCCTATCTTGAAGCGGTGGGAAGTGCCATGGGGATGGCAAACAGTTTCATTAACTTCTCTAGCTTGTGGATTAAGGTGGCTTTTTACAACTGTTTCTGCTTTGTCCAAATGTAATAGCTTTCATAATTTCCAGGCAAGGGCGAAAGTTAATGTTTTCCCCAGACAGTTTCATTGTGACAGGATTGGTTGAATCTGCCGCCATACCTTATCTTGGTATTCGCATTGAAGAGCTAAGCTTAGACGAGAAGGCTGAAATACTGTTTCTGGATCAAGGGTATGCTTGCTTTCCTCTAGTTTTTAAAACCTGCTCATAAGTCATAAATTTTTCTGGTCTTTTTTCACAAGTAAATTTCTTGAAGCTATTCGTAAAGTACCTTCAATCATAATGTTTTCTAGCATCTAAGATTCTTTGGTTATCTCTGATGAGTCTCCTGCCACTTTACATTTATTTTTTGTGGACCCAAAATAAGACTTAATTATTCACTGGCTCTTTTGGTAGCATTACAACTGTGGCAGTGCTTGGGATCTTATACAGTATTGCAAACACTTTCCAACCACTTCCCGATGACTTGTATCGCTATGGTATTCTCAATTACGAGCTAAGCTACTGTTGATTGCTTAATCAAATTTTCCCTTTAGCAAGAATTAGTGATCATTTAATTTATGTTAAAGTTTCTTCATTATTATTACTATTATTTGGTATAATGGTTCCCCCCTGATAAATAACTATGGTGTCAGAAATCAGAAGAGCCTTTATTATGTTTTATATTTCAGTGTGGAAAAGTATCATTTTCATGTTATTAGTAGTCATTTGGGCAGATCTTTGGTTTCCTGATCAGGCTCTAACATTTATGCTGATTTATATCCTTCAGATATTAAGGACCCCCTGAATCTGCAGAAAGGCTGGCTCTTATGGGCAGGAGTGGGTCTGGTCGGTGCCCTTGCTTCTATTGCAGCGACAGGAGCAGTCTTGTCTTCATTTAACGGTGGGAGCCCGCAAAGAGAGGTTAGAGATGATAAAGAGCCTTCTCATATTTTATTTTCCATTTTCCAATTTAATCTGGAACTGGGAAGTACATAACTCTACAGCCACCCTTTTCAGTTCTTGATAGCTTGTAGGTTACAGAGCATTCAAATTTAGTGGGTTAGTTCAAGATGAGTTATGCTTTACATTGGATTGTTTATGATGTTTTGTGAAGTATGAATGTAGTTGGCTTCCATATTTTGAAATTTTTATTTTTGTTCCTGGATATGTGGGATTTTACAGAGCACAGACTTTTAAGTATTCTTTTCATTTTTGTTTCAGACAGACGCTCTAGTACGCTTGCTTCCACTAATTGGATCTTCCAGCATCAGGTACTTCAATTTTGCATAAATTCTGGCTTTCAAAATGTCTAGATTTTTCTAAGGCTAATCATGTAGGTGTCTTCTTTACTAAAGACTAACAATTAATTTAGACATAAGCAAAGTGAAACAAGCATATCTGTTTTCATTTCAGCACTGCTTGTCTGGTGGGTATCGCTGGTGTCCTTGCTCCAGTTCTTGAAGAGACTGTGTTCCGGGGATTTTTTATGGTGTCTCTTACCAAGTGGTATGGTCTTTGATTGGTGGTTTATGAGCCTAGTTTTGTTGATCACTTCTTTGAGCATGAACCCGTGATTAGCGCAGCTGCATTTGCCCTTGCACATCTTGTAAAATAATAATCAGCACAAAATAGTTTTACAGATAACACAAATTCAACTTGTAAAAAGAGCTTTCTGTTTACAAAGTAAAAGAGAATTTTAGAAAGTTTAAAAGCCCATTCAACCATAGAAAAGTAAAAAAACAATGCTGCCTCTGAGACATGCTTTGAGATATTCAGGGAAAAAACATCTGGGAGAATAGAATTGGGTGATTGTTATGTGATCATAGTGGAGAAACAATCATAATATATAATTTTTATGAAGTTGTTTTGGCTGAATATGATTCTTTTATGTGTTCATCCGCACGATTTCTCCTTCCTCCAGGGTTCCCACGCCAGTTGCCATTCTGATTAGTGCAGCTGTGTTTGCCCTTGCACATCTCACTCCTGGAGAGTTTCCCCAGCTCTTTGTGCTTGGTAATGTTCATCAACTGCAAGTTCTCTCCGATTTTACCACATCGTCTAGCTGTGACTTGAAATATTATCATCAATTCAGAATCCCTTTGGGTCGACACTTAAGAACGAAGTAGACTTTATTTCGAGTGCGTAATATGTTTCCTTGCATCAAAAACTCATATAGGAACTGCTCTCGGATTTTCTTATGCTCAAACTCGCAACCTCTTGACACCCATCACCATACACGCTTTGTGGAACTCAGGCGTCATTTTGCTTCTTACCTTCCTCTCGGTAAAACATTAATTTCACAGTGAAAGTGAACTCTTTCTTATGCTTC